CTTGCTTGATGTTTGGGTTAGATCAAACCCGTTTTGTGTTTCTTTTGAAAGATTTTTCCTCATCTCTGAACAACAATCTTTGGTTGTGGGTTTGATGGGTAGTTGGTGTTTGGGTTTGGAATCTTAGTTGGAGATGTTCTCTATGTCTGGGAGGAAGAGTTGATAGAAGAGTTTATTATTTTGATAGGTGGTAAGGTTTATTTGGGTTGAGAGCATGTACGGTAGTGTATCCTTAATACCATGGGATGGTTCTCTGTGTGATTATTTTATGCTAGACTTTCCGTTTTGACAAAAGGTGCGAAAGGTAGGTTGACTTTGGTGATTCATGATTTGGCTATGATCTGGAAGAACCGGAAGCCTTCTAAACTAGTGGTCTTATCTTGACAGTTTCCGATCAGACAAGATCTTTCTAGACGTTAAATAATGATACTATTAGTGGGTAGAGTGTGCATTTTGCTTATGTCAGTTGGCGTCGGTGAATCACATCTTCCTTTTTTTCTGATTGCACTTTTGGTGCTCTTGTTTGTTCTATGTTGTTGACTCTTACTAGTTATGTGTGTGTGTGTGTGTCTTTTTATGTGCGTGCGTGCATGCGTGTGTGTGTGTGTGTGTGTGTGTGTGTGTGTGTGTGTGTGTTGCTATTAAAAAAAACTCATACAAAAATGTAAATTTATTTATTTTTGAATGAGTTTTTAAGCTGAGTTACTATTTTCTATTTGGATATGTTAAACAAATATTTTGGCGAGTAATAAAGCTCATTCTCATTCAAAGAAAAACAAAAGAAAGTAAAGAGTCTTGTATACATTCAATACAATAGTGATTGTCTACTTATAGAGAGACCAGAAACTGTTAGAAACTAACTCTAACTAACTTTCATAAAAGACAAAGTATTAAATACCAACCAATTGTTACTTGATTAACAAGTAACAAGTACATGTTTAACACCCCCTCAAGTTAGACCAAGGAGATTGCATAAATCTAACTCGTAGAGTTAAAGTAAAAAGAAGTTGAATGAAGTGGCTTGATAAAAACATCAGCTAATTGAGCAACACTATTGACAAGAAGAAGATGCGATATTTTGCTTTAGATATTCTCTTTAATAACATGACAATCAATCTCAATATGTTTACTTTTTTCGTGAAATGTTGGATTGTGTGTTAAATGGCAGACTTGATATCACAATAAATAGAGGTAAGATTTGAAAGAACAGTGCCAAAATCTTGAAGAAGATGATGCAACCACTGGATTTCACAAGTAAGGGAAGTTACACCTCAATATTATCCTGTTCAAAGTTCTATTATTAATGAGGCTGTTTAGAATCCTCCCATTCCAAACTGGATAAAGTGTAATTGTGACGACACCTACACTAACTCTCCACTACAACTGGTTTATCAGAGATTTTTAGTGATTATAATGGAAAATTTCTTTTGACCTTTGTAGAAAATCTTTCTTGGAATTGTTCTCTCCTTGGTGAGTACTATGCTGTTTTGAGATCCATTTAGGTTGTTAGGGACAAACATTGATTGTGGTTATGGGTTGAAACACACCCTCTCCTAGTGGTGCAAGCTTTCTCCAACCACTCGTTAGTGGCTTGGAAGTTAAGAAATAGATGGACTTCTTATCTCAGTATCATTGCAAATATGCATTTCCACATTTCTCACATCTATAGGAAGAGAAATAATTATGCTTTTTTTCTTTCTTTCTAATAGATCTCACAACAACTTCCCTCATATTTTTTAATTCCATTCTTTCGACAATTAAAAAGAACTTTGTAGAAAATAGGCTTGCATTGTCTTTTTATTTTTTATTTTAGATTTTTTATTTTTACTTTTTAAGTGAATCTTGTCATAGTCCTGCACTTTTTTTAAATGATTATTTAATACAATTAAATTTATATAATTATTTTTCTTTTTACAATTAAGTAATTCATTTCAATTTTATATCCGTATATAAATATATTTTATATATTAAATAAATTAAGTAACTCATTTCAATTTTATATTTGTATATAAATATATATTTTATTTTAATTAATAATTACCTTTATTTGAACGGTAAAATTCTTATTTTTAAATATTAAATATTCTTTTTTGTCTCACGAGTCCCTTTTTTTCTTTATATTTTAATACAATTGAATTTATATAATCATTGTTCATTTTAAAATTAATAGCTAATTTTAAATTTTCATATTTAAATATATTTTATATCATACCAAATTTATATTTACATTTAGATATATTTTATATTGTATCTTACTAATTTAATATAGTGGTGTTTTATTTAAAATAAAATAAAATAGTTAAATATGCTAATTATTATAATAATATTTATTTTATTTATTTTTTTAAATTGGTCATCTAAACTTAGGACAGAGGTATTTTCATTTCAAATACTCTAGTAGTATTAATAGTTTATACCCCTAGTAAATACTCCTTATGTTTTAAAATAAGTGTTTTTCTTATAAAATGAATGCCTATAAACTAAGGCTCGGTTTGTTAAAACTAATTTATAGTTGATAGTTGGTAGTTGATATTTGATAGCTTATAACAGTTTATAACTGATGACTGATAGCTGATAAATTAATTTGAGTGTTTGATAAATTAACTGTTAGACTAGCTGATAATTATAAAATAACTTAAAAAGACATTTTTAATTAAAATTTTTTTGATTTCATTATCTTATTATATTATATTATTAAATTAAATTTTATTCGATAAAAGTAAATGTATTAATAACAACATGCAAAATAATTTTAATATTAATATATATGAAAAATTGAAAATATCATCAAAATATATAAATTTGTATATAAATTTTATGAGGTTTGCTATTTAGTATGAATATATTCACAACAAAATTTAATGAGTAAAAGAACCAATAAACCATATAAGAACCAGTAAACCATACACAAAATTCAATGAATAAAAGAACCAATAAACTATATATAAAAATAAAAATAATTTTAATAACTATGATTATTGGTTTAGTTAACTTATTCTTTCGTAAAATATAGTTTTTTTTTTAATTTTATAATGAAATTTAATAAAATACATAAAATAATAAGATTGTAATTTTAAATTTAATTATATTAATCTCTAATAGAAAAAAAAATTATTATCTAATATAATACAATAAAACTGTAATAATATTTTGAATTTTCTTCAATTTTATAAAATTAATTTTATGACAATATTATTAACGTAGGCGTAATCAATACTATGAAGAATTAAAAATAATTTATAAAATTATTTCATTTATTCTTTCCTTTATTATTTCTTTAATTTATTTACAACAATAAAAATATATAGAGATTTATGAATTAGAGAGTATTTTATTTCGAAAACGTGTAAAAACGCAGTAATAGGCTAATAGCAATGAACGAAATGATGCACAGACCAAAAGCTGTCAAACCGCAGCAGCACCATTTTTTTGATTGACGCGTATCTGACTTTCTCTTCCCGCCGCCCCTTCTCTCTCTACAATTATATCTCCTCTTTCTCTCTCATCATGTTTTTAATTAATAAATTTCAATTTTAAAATATATGAAAATTAGAAAACGTTAATATTGACATTAAATTTGTTAACAATTTTATGGGAACTCTTTCAACAATTTTTTTTATAAGAGAAAATTGGTTTATATTTTAAAGATAATATTTATACTCGATTGTAAACAATAATATATGAATTTAAAGGTAATGCATCGTCACTATAAGACAGTTTTATACATACAATTAATTAAAATGTTTATAATTTTAATGTAATATTAATATTTTTATAATAAAAATATGTCTTTTTCTGATACATGGTTGTGATTGGTTGACAGTGTAAAATATTTTACATTTTTAGTGCATTTCCTTTTTTCTTATAATATATAATAAATAAACATATAATAATATAATATTAATTAATTAGTTAAAAACTCAAATTGAGTTTATAATTAGAAAAAATAAAAAATAAAAAATAAATCTTTGAAATGTTTTATTTATTTATTATACTTTTAAATATGTATTATCTCTTTTTAAGGGAGAATTTCTTTGTCTTTTTTATTTAAAAAATAATCTTTACTGATAAAATAAATTATATAATTATTAATTAAATAAAATTATATCATTTATTATTTCATTTTATTTTTTTTATATTGAACAATTTGGATAAAATATCAGCTAATCCTTTTCTAGTGAACGAATAATCCAATTAATTTATTTTTAAAAATTATTTATTTATAAATATCATTAAATTATTTATATTAAATAAATATAAATAATTTCTATTGTCAAAGATTAAATTTTAGCAAAGATTAAATTTTAGTACAATTATTTGCTTTTATATAACTCAATTCAATTAATTCAGATTAAATTTTAGTTCAATTATTTGCTTTTATATAACTCAATTCAATTAATTCAGATTCAATTATTTGCTTTTATATAACTCAATTCAATTATTAGCAAAGATTATGTTTTTAATGCATTATTACACATATTTAGAAAAATATGTATTTTTAATCTCTTAAAAAATATTCAATTTATATTTTTAAATTTTCTTTAAAATAGTTTATGTCTTAAAAATATTAGTTACCACTTCTTTAAAATTTAAAAATAAAAGTAACTAATTAGTTAATTTAACGGTGATTGACACTTGCTTTAATGAAGAGGATTACAGTTCGATTTCGATTATCCGTAATTATATTCGAGAGAGATTCAAATCACTTGAAATTAAAATTAACTTTTAAATTAAATTAGTCAAATTAATCGGTCTAATAACTCAGATATTAACGGTAAAAATAAAATTGAAAAAAGTAAAATAAATAACACGAAAAAGAATTAAAATTTTTCAAAACCAAGGAAGGAGTATATAGTAAAACCACTTTAACAACTCAGAACACAACATGCTTTGTTGTAAAGAGAGACTCTTTCTTATATAAAAAACCAAAGACCAAAAACCAAACCATTCTTTCTTTTAGAAGAAAAAGAAAAACATCACAAATACTCTCTTTGATTGCAATGGCTAAGTCAAAGAACAATGCAAAGAAACTGTCATACATCTCAGTTCCTTCTCAAATAATCAATTCCATTTCATCATCTTCTATTCAATCCTTACTTGATCAAACCCCAAAGAAATCATCAAAAGCTTCCTCAAAGTTCTTCACCACCTTAACAACAAAATGGAAAAAGCCAAGACTGTTTCTGTTCTTCACACTCTTTTTACTTGGAGTATTTTCCATGTTGAAGTTCGGTTTCAATCTAGAAATCCCATTTCCTCACTACCCTTGTGCTACAAACCCCTCAATCTCAAATGGGTTTGACTCAAAATCTGAACTTGGGTTTGTTTCAAGTAATAAAAATGAGATTTTTAATGCCGCTCTTTTGTCAAAATCTGAACTTGGGTCTGTTTCATTGAAAAAAGATGAGATTTTGAATGATAATGGGATGTTGAAAGAAATGGGTCATAGTGGATTTGACTTGATGGATCAGGAAAAGGGTGAGTTTTGGAAGCAGCCAGATGGGTTAGGGTATAGGCCTTGTTTGGATTTCAGCAGAGATTATAGAAGAGATAGTGATGGGGTTTTGAAGAATAGGAGAAGGTATCTTATGGTGGTTGTTTCTGGTGGGTTGAATCAGCAGAGGAATCAAATTGTTGATGCTGTTGTCATTGCTAGGATTCTTGGTGCTGCTTTGGTTGTTCCTATATTGCAAGTTAATGTCATTTGGGGAGATGAAAGGTAAACTATACTATTCTAGCTATTGTTTCTATCTTTTGTTTTTGATACTGGTTATGGTTCTTTGTTAATGTTGATTAAATTTGTTTCCTTAATTTTGAATGTTAGAAGAGAGTTTCTGTGATTAGTTGTTATTTTGCTTATTGGTATCGGTTTTGTTTTGCAGTGAATTTGCTGATATATTTGATTTTGAGCACTTCAAGAATGTTCTTGCTAATGATGTGAGGGTGGTTTCGTCGTTGCCGTCGACGCACCTGATGACAAAGCCGGTGGAAGGAAGCCCTCCTCTTCATGTGACTCCTAGTTGGATCCGATCGCGCTATCTCAGAAGGGTAAGATTTTTTGTTAAGTTCTTATTTACTTTTGTATCGATTAATTTCATAAAATGATTGTTTCGGGGATGAGAAAAACGTGGACGGTGTCATTGAGTGAGTGTTGTTCTTGTTGAACATGAGTTTAACATGATTCTTGATTTTCTTTGCAGTTCAATCGAGAAGGTGTTTTGCTTTTACGCAGCTTGGATTCAAGGCTATCGAAGGATCTTCCTTCGGATCTTCAGAAGCTTCGATGCAAGGTATTGCGTGGTCTCTATAGTTTCTTCGTTTGTATGACAATTGGTATTGTATTCTAAATGTTCTAATCTTACTTATTTTCAGGTTGCTTTTAGTGCGTTGAGGTTTGCAAAACCCGTTCAAGAACTAGGCGAGAAGATTGCGGAGAGAATGAAAAGCAAGGGACCCTACCTTGCCCTTCATCTAAGAATGGAAAAAGACGTGTGGGTGAGGACCGGTTGTTTACCTGGTCTGAGTCCTGAGTTTGACGAGATTGTAAAGAGTGAGAGGATACAACGGCCAGAGCTCTTGACCGGAAGATCAAACATGACTTACCATGAAAGAAAGATGGCCGGTCTTTGCCCCTTAACGGCCATGGATGTTACAAGGTAAATATTAAATCCTTTTACTTTTGAGTAGGAGTCTGTTTAGAATGACTTATTTGAGCTTATTTATTGACATAAACACTAGTGAAACTAGCTTATGACATGTCCAAAGGTTGTTTTCAGCTTATTTCTATAAGTTCTTCAAAGTAGCTTATAAAACTAACTTATATGAAAACAATTTGACTTTCTTTTGTTATGGAAAAAACTTATACATAAGCACCTATATGATAAGCGCTTAATTAAGTTGTTTATCCAAACATCATGTATGTTTCACTTTCAGTTGTTTTCTGAGTATTAGTCTAATGGATTTTTATTTCTTGTTTATAGGTTGCTTAAAGCTTTAGGAGCTCAAAAAGACGCAAGAATTTATTGGGCCGGAGGACAACCCTTGGGCGGAAAAGAAGCATTGCATCCATTAATCCACGAGTTTCCACATCTTTACAATAAGGAGGATCTCGCATTGCGCGGTGAACTAGAACCATTTGCAAAGAAAGCTTCTATAATGGCTGCCATAGATTACATAGTTTCTGAGAAGAGCGATGTTTTCATGCCGTCTCATGGAGGAAACATGGGCCATGCAATTCAGGTACGATACACACGTTGATGAATGTTGCATACTACTCAGGTCACTATTATAAGCAGAATTATCATTTCAGGTTCATTGAATAATTAATGTATCTGATTTACATCTAGATCGGATAACCTCATAATGGAATCATGGATACACATTTAATAACGTTTTCTAATATCGGAAACTAAATTTCATTACAGGGTCACAGAGCTTACGCCGGACACAAGAAATATATAACCCCGAATAAAAGACAGATGCTTCCCTATTTTCTTAATCCTTCCCTCCCTGAAGCAGAGTTTAACAGCATTGTCAAAGAATTGCATCAGAATTCATTAGGACAGCCGGAACTTCGGACTAGTAAGGCCGGAAGAGATGTCACCAAGTATCCTGTCCCCGAATGCATGTGTAACTCACGTTCAGATTCGTAATCAAAGATTCGATATACCAAAGCTTCACGGTCACTAAAGCGCATGAGTGGTAGTTTTCGCAACCTGTACAATTTTGATCCATTGAAAACTACTTGAAGTTGAATTTTCGGGAAACCATGGTACTCAAAAGCAACATTTCGAAGAGCTATACCGTCGTCGGGCACTCCTCGTTCCACCAGTGTACTCACATACACGAAGTAGGTTTCTCTGATACATTAAATTGATACATATACACAAGATAATTCTTTGATTCTTTAGGTAGAGTTTGTATAGGATACATGTTATTTTTGTTTGTTATGTTATTCTTTGTAGTACATAAAGCCATGTATATATATTTGAATGAATAAATAATCAGTTTTGTGTTCAGTTATTTGAATTGAATATCATCTTATGCTTCTACTTAAGCAGAAGAAGTGTTGTATTATCACAAGGTGCATATAAGAAACTAATCAATTAAGTAGTGTCCTAATCGATTACACCTTGGCAAGAATTATTTTTAAAAGTGTAAAGTGTTTTGAAAATAGATGAAGTTTAGAAAATAGTTTGAGTTTTTGTGCATTATCTTAGTACTTTGTGATCTACTCACATTTAATGTTACATATGATTTATAGAACATATACATAGAGAAAACCACTTACTATCTTTTTGCACTTGGACTATGTTTCTTGGTGAATACTTTTATCTTATGATTATATCTGTGTGATCTTCATAAACCTTCTCACATTTTTTTTATGATTCTTATGATTTTGCTTTACTTCTTTTTGTCATCATCGAAATCAAGAGTACCTATACAACACATGAAACCACATTCTTTATGATTTTGATAATGACAACACATCTCTTAGTGATGTGGTAAACAAAGAAATTAGTGACGTGGTAAGCAAAGAAATTGAGATGAGAAAGATTAGAGTAACTAACTCCGTATTACATATATAGAAAGTATACTTTACTCCTTTTGAAGTTATACTTCTCCCTATTTATCTGCCGCATCTCGAAAAAAACGATCTTTCGCGATGGTCGCAGAAAAATAGTTCGAACAGAGTCACCATCGAACTTTATTTATTCCAATGAAAGAAATAAAAATATCGATAAAACCTTTAAAAAGAATAATGGTCGTTCCAACTATTTTTAGGTACAAGAGTCATTTACGCAAGGGGAATGTATTGGCACCCCTCACGTCCGTTGTACTCAACGTGAATCATTTGATTAGTTGTGTGCGTTAGTGTTAGCTTTGAAATGTTAGGTTTTTCGAGTTATTAAAAGGTAAAAGAAAAAACAAAAAGTTTTTGTTAGTTCTTGATTGGCAGCAATTTTGGTAAAACTTGGTGTTATCACAAGATGTCCTATAAGATGTCTTGACATATGTTCTTAACATTTTGCAGGTGGTTATTCTTAATATTGCAGGGTTTAGTTCATGATGTCAAGTATGATGTCCTAAAATTTGTGAACAGAACATTCAGTGGGAATGTTATGGTGTGACTGTTGCGTTTTGAACAACCTTTTGCGCTTTTGTGATAAGAGATTTTGCAGGTAGTTTTTGTTAAAACTCAAGCCCGTTCAAAATGTTACTATATAAGACTTTACAATCTTATTTTGAAGATTAGAGAAGCTAGGGTTGTAAGAGTGGGTTGCTTAAAGAATAAGTTTTTACCTTCGTGTGTTATTGTTAATTGTGAGTCATTCACTCATCACCTTGATGTGTGAAGTGGACTGAGTATTTGAGTTGTAAGTTGTCCACTCTAAGCTTTTAAGCAAGAGTGTATTGTTTTTGATTGAAACTTTTAAGCAAGATCAAGTATTGTCCTTGAAGAGTGTCTTCTACGTTTCATTAATCTGTTTTTATCACTGTTGTGATTGAGGGGGAGTGAGAGGTGTCTCATATCTAAGAGTGTCTTGGATAGAAATTGCAAGGGTAGAAATTAGGTGCGAAGATTGTAAACTAGAAAGAGTTTTTTGTGAATCTTCAAACTAATTTTATTTAGTGAATTTCTTTCCTGGCTTGGTAGCCCACAGACGTAGGTGTGTTTACACCGAACTGGGTTAACAATTGCTTGTGTCTCTTTACTATTGTTAATTGCTTTTTATCTTGTTCATATATTAGTAACTGTTCAGATATTAGTGTCGTGACATCTCTTTCGACATCTCATATCTGATACCAGAATTTCAATTGGTATCAGAGCAGGCATCCTGCTCTGGTTCTGGATGAGATCTAGGGACGATACTTTCTGGTACTATGGACAAAAAAGGAGGATTTGTGAACAGACCACCTGTTCTGGATGGGAATAATTATGATTATTGAAAACCTCGCATGGTGGCCTTCTTGAAATCATTGGATAATAAGGCTTGGAAAACTGTCATGAAAGGATGGGAACACCCTGTGACTGTTGGGAAAGATGGAAAAAGCTACATCTGACCTGAAGCCTGAGGAAGAATAGGCTAAGGAGGAGGATGAATTGGCTCTTGGAAATTCTAAAGCCTTGAATGCCTTATTCAATGGAATTGATAGAAATATATTTAGATTGGGGAACAATTGTGAAGTTGCTAAAGATGCTTGAGAGATACTCAAAACTACTCATGAAGGTACTTCTAAGGTAAATATGTCAAGACTTCAATTGCTAACTACAAAATTTGAAAACCTAAGGATGAAAGATGATGAAAGTATACATGTTTTTCATATGAATATCCTTGAAATAGCCAATGCTTCAAGTGCCCTAGGTGAAAAGATGTCAGAAGAAAAGCTTGTAAGAAAGATTCTCAGGTCTCTTTCCAAGAGATTTGATATGAAAGTAACTGCCATAGAAGAAGCTCAAGACATCTGCAAGATGATGGTGGATGAACTTATTGGATCTCTTTTAACCTTTGAAGTGGGGATAAGTGACAAATCTGATAAGAAAAAGAGCATAGCCTTTCAAATGCTAAAAATGGAGAGGATAAATCTGATGGGGATACCGATGAAAGCTTATTCAATGCTATAGTGCTTCTAGGAAGACAGTTTAACAAGGTAATGAAGAGGATGGATATGAAGTCAAGAAAAAATGTCAAGAACAACTCTTATGACATCAGCAGATCTAACGATGCTGGTAGAAGAACAAGGTCTGAAGAAAAATCCACTCAAAGCAAAGGGATTCAGTGCCATGGATGTGAAGGATTTTCTCACATTAGAGATGAATGCCCTACTTATCTCAAGAAACAAAAGAAGAGCCTAGCTGTTTCTTGGACTGATGAGGTTTCTGAAAGTGATCTTGAAGAAGAATATGTTAAGCATGTGACTGCTTTGACTGGGAGATACAACTCTGATGAAGACTCTAGTGATGATGAATTAACCTTTGAAGAACTTGCAGCTTCCTACAAAGAGTTGTGTCTTAGAAGTGAAGAAGTGTGTCATCAAGAAGAAAAACAGAAGAAACTTATAATCAGACTGAAGGCTGAAAAGGAAGAACATATTAAAATTATCTCTGAATTGAATGATGAAGTTACACTGCTGAATTCCCAACTGGATCAAATGCTCAAGTCTGTTAGAATGATGAACAATGGTACTAACACTTTTGATGAAATCCTTCAAGCTAGAAAAATGGCAGGAGACATGACTGGGATAAGGTTTGATGAAGAAAAGAAACCAACTTCAGACTGTAATCCATCTTCACACCACAATCCTTCTGGGCCTAAGCGAAATATGTCACATCAGATGTCTCAACATCATGGCAGAGGACAACCCAACCACCCAAGAGGAAGATTTCAAAGATGGAGATGTCGTTACTATGGACGCTTTGGTCACATAAAGCCTTTTTGCTTCAGGATGCATGGATATCCTAAACCTATTCCTCAATCTAGACCCGATCACAACATTCCTTCCAATAGGAAGCAATGGGTCCCTAAAGCTGCTGCTACCAATTTGATAGCTCATATGTCCCTCAAAGTCTCAGCTAAGGAAGATTGGTATTTTGACAGTGGGTGCTCCAGACACATGACAAGAATTAAAAACCTCTTAGTAGACATCAAATCTCATTCTACTAGCTATGCGACTTTTGGTAATGGAGCCAAGGGTGAAATCAAGGGGGTTGGAAAATTGAACTGCTCAGGAGTTCCAAACCTTGTGAATGTGTTGCTGGTTAAAGGATTAACTACCAACTTAATTAGCATCAGTCAACTGTGTGATCAAGGACTCAAGGTCAACTTCACTAAATCTTAATGCTTGGTTACAAATGAGAAGAGTGAAGTGATCATGAAGGGAGTCAGATCTAAGGACAACTGCTATCTATGGGTTACCCAAGATTCTAAATGTGCTCTAGCCAAAGAAGATGAAGTGAAACTGTGGCACCAGAAACTTGGTCATTTGCATCTAAAAGGAATGAAGAAGATCATCTCTATGGAAGTTGTCAGAGGAATTCCTAAGCTAAAGATTGAAGAAGGAAAAGTCTGTGGTGAATGCAAAATTGGAAAGCAAACTAGGATGTCACACCAGAAGATCAAACATCTCACTACTTCAAAAGTGTTGAAACTCTTCCACATGGAATTAATGAGACCTATGCAGGTGGAGAGTCTTGGTGGAAAGAAGTATGCCTATGTGATGGTGGATGATTTTTCCAAATATACTTGGGTGAATTTTATAAAAGAAAAATATGAAGTTTTTGATGTGTTCCAATATCTCTATCAAAGAATTCAAGAGAAAAGGAGAACAATGTTGTTAGAATCATAAGTGATCATGGGAAGGAATTTGAAAATAAAAAATTTGCTGAATTTTGCTCATCTGAAGGGATTAGCCATGAATTCTTTTCTCCCATTACTCCACAGCAAAATGGAGTTGTGGAAAGAAAGAATAGAACTATCCAAGAATCTGCTAGAGCTATGATCCATGCAAAGAAGCTGCCTTACAACTTCTGGGCTGAAGCTATGAACACTGCCTACTATATTCATAATAGAGTGACCCTAAGAACATGAACCATGACCACCTTGTATGAGATATGGAAGGGAAGAAAGCCTACTGTCAAATACTTCCATGT